GCTGTAAGGACTCCAGGTGATAATGCAGGTAAGTGGAGTGCCAGGCATAGTCAAGTGACCGGTACATTTTAGTTTTCATTTTTTAGCAGACCTCATAGTGGGGAAGAAAAGCACAGAATTTGAAGTCGGACCATTCTGGGTTCAATTCCTAGCTCTGATACTTGCTAACCTCAGTTTACCCATCTGTAAAATGGGGTTTAAAGAACTACCCCCCCTTCTTAGGTTCTTGTGGGTTTTAAGGGGTTCATCTCTGCAACTTGGTTCTGAGTTTAGCACATAGTTGGCGCTCATTATCAACTTCTCCTACCTTCCTTCCCTCTGCTGCCCTTGAACCCTGAACCAGAATATGAACACGCCTCACCTGATCATCTTTTGCCACCAGGCCTCGACCCAAGTCGCTGTCTTATCCCTGCGTCCCTCCACTCTTGTCACTCTTGGGCTGCCACAAGTCAGGACTGCCCCGCCCCTGACAGCAGCTGCTGGGAACCCCACCATTAGGCCTAACTGCCCTCATTCCCCACGCCAGTCTCCCTGGGCTGTTCTGAAATCAGGCGAGACAACAGGTGGGAAAGCTCTTTGCAGGCTCTGGGTGTGTGAGGGATTAAGGTGCTGCGTGCATTTGACACAAAGAGCCAAGAGGATGTGCCCGCAGCCCCCACAGAGCCCTGTGGACGCAGAATGCCCTTGGCCCACCACCTCCTCCAGAGCCGGCCTGGAGGCCGCTTCCCACCAGCGCTCTTGCCGCTCCATCCTAAATGCCATTTCCCCGCCACCACAGCCCCATCTAAATGCCATGTCTGGGCCCGAGCCACTGCCTACTGTCTGGGGCAGCTGGAAATTTCTCAAATGTCGCTTTGATTTATGGCTCTAGTTAATTCTCCAGGAGGCCCGTGAGATGCCCTGAGCTCTGGAGCTTCAACGGGATAAATCATTTAACAGGTGGTTAAATATTCTTTAAGGTCTGAGGAGCACAGGCAGGATGTAGACTAGGGGGGGCCCAGGCTGGGGGAGACTTGGCAAATTTCTAACCGGTAAAAGGGAAAACTGTGCGGTCATTTCAGAACCCGTGGGAGCAATTTGTCATAAGCCGCGGCTGAAGGCAGAACCTGTGGGCCCCTTCCTACCCTCGGGCCCAGGAGGCTGGGGGGCCCCAGGCATTGGAGGGTGTGGGGAGGGGGGCAGGAGGCAGAGGCAGCCTGCTGGGACCTCCAGAAGCTGTATGTTCCAGGCGTGTGATCTTCCTGTTGGGAGGTACCCACAGGACCCCAGAAGCTTCCAGCTGGGAGTGAGGACTTGATGCCACAAAATCTGGGGCCAGACACAAAGGCAGCTGTATGACGCAGCTGGCCGCTCTGAGAGAACAGTGGGGAGGCCTGGCTTATACCGGACAGTGTGTGCTCTGCCTGATGGCATTCAGATACGAGATGACACCAGGCCAGCCAAACAAAACAGGTCCAGGTTGGCACCTGGAGACCTCAGAATTATGCAGTCCCTCTACCACACATCTGCAGGGGGCTTCATGGTTTCAAAGCACATTCCCACCCCTTGTGGAGAAAAGGGAACACTCCTACATTGTTGGTGGGAATGTAAGTTGGTGCAGCCACTATGGAAAACTGTATGAAGTTTCCTCAAAACACTAAAAATAGAGGGCACTTCCCTGGTGGTCCAGTGGCTAAGACTCTGTGCTCCCAATGCAGGGGGCCCAGGTTCGATCCCTATTCAGGGAACTAGATCCCACATGCTGCAACTAAAGGTCCTGCATGCCACAACTAAGAGTTCGCATGCCGCAACTAGAAGATCCCGTGTGCCGCAACTAAGACCCGGTGCAGCCAAATAAATAATAATTAAAAAAATAGAATTACCATATGATCCAGCAATCCCACTCCTGGGCCTATATCCAGACAAAACTATAATTTGAAAAGATACATGCACCCGTATGTTCATAGCAGTACTAATAGTCTAGACATGGAAACAACCTAAATGTCCATCAACAGATGAAATGGATAAAGAAGATGTGGTACATGTATACAATGGAATACTACTCAGCCATAAAAAAGAATGAAATAATACCATTTGTAGTAACTTGGATGCAACTAGAAATTATCATATGAAGTGAAGTAAGTCAGAAAGAGAAAGATAAATACCATATATCACCTATATGTGGAATCTAAAATACGACACAAATGAATGTATCTACAAAACAGAAAGAGACTCACAAACATAGAGAACAGACTTGTGGTTGCCAAGGGGGAGGAGGGTGGAGGAGGGAAGTATTGGGCTTTTGGGATTAGCAGATGCCAACTATTATGTATAGAGTGGATAAACAAGGACCTACTGTATAGCACAGGGAACTATATTCAATACCTTGAGATAAACCATAATGGAAAAGAATATTTAAAAAAGTATATATATATATATATATATGTGTGTGTGTATAACTGAATCACTTTGTTGTACAGCATAAATTAACACAATATTGTAAATCAACTATACTTCAATAAAAAAAAATTTTTTTTTAAGGCACATTCCCATCCTTGATAACATTTGAGCCTCACAACAGACTCCGAGGTCAGTAGGGCAAGGGATATGAGCCCAGTGTACAAAGGACTAAACAAGCTCAGAGAGGCTGAAATCCTGCCTGAGGCGGCACAGCTGGCTAGAGGCCAAAGGTAATCCAGGTCAGAGGCTGGGAGGATGCAGCTCACCTGGAAGGAAGGGAGAATCAGGAAGGGGCCCTAGAGATTATGAAGCCCAAAGCATCCTTTTTACAGATAAGAAGACTGAGGTCCTGAGAAGGGCAGAGACGGGCCCAAGGGCAGGACAGTGCTGGAGATGGGGATGAGGTCCCAGGCAGCAGGCCTGAGGGTGGATGCCTGCCCAACCCCTACCTCCGAGTGTCCTCCCCTCGGGACCTCAGTTCCTGGAAATGAAGCTTGCTAGTAGAGTCTAGGGAAGCTGTGTAAACGACAGTGGCAGTAGCCTGGGTGGGAGGGGAGGGAGGAGTGGGAGACCTCCCCAGGACAGCCTCCCCTCCCTCCCTGGCACTCGCCCCCTGCCCCAGGCTGGCTGTATCCTGTGCTCGCATCTCCCTCCTGGTCCCCCAGCCCCTCCTGTCCAAGGCAGCCCCAGGGTGCCGGGCTAGGCTGGAGTGCGGCGTGGCTTTGTGCTGCGGAGGAAGGTTCCTCTGGGGCTAGGTCTGAGCTGCGTGTGGTGAGGAGCAGGAAAGGCCTGGGCTTCAGACCACCCCCTGGGCTGAGCCTGGACCAAGATGGCCAGAGGGACCGTCCGCAGAGAGGCAGGTCTGCTCCGGGGCATCTGGGCTGGGGGCTGGGGTGGGGTCCCGGCATTCCCAAGAGTGACTCCTGCCCCAGCACTCTGGGCAGGTCAGAACACACAGGAACGGGCACAGGGCCCACGCAGGGACGAGGAGGTTGCCCTCACCTGCACGCCCACCTGCTTCCTATTAGGAAGCTGCAAGGAAGGAGGAGGTTGTTTAGGCGGATGAATGGGAGGTTCTGAGGGCTCACGAGGCAGTGGAGGATGCTCAGGTTGTGGGCGTGACACTGGCTTTTGGGACAAGGCTAGTCATCCCTTCCCTCTGCTACGACCAAGCCCTTGGGGGTCCTGGAACTGCCATGGACAAGTGCTGGGGGTGGATCCCTAGGGCATCTGATACCCACCCCCACTGCTTGCAACTCTGTATGTGTGTGTGTGCGTGTGTGAGACAGTTGGGCAAATGTCACACCGCGCCCATGCCCGTCTCTCTAGCCCACAGTGGCCAGTGCTGTACGGCTGCCTGCTTGTGGTCTGGTTGCGACTGTATTGAGCCCGTGGTTACTCTCTCTCCCAGGCTAGTGCCTCCTGTGGCAGGCCAAGGTCTTGATCCTGGCCCCACCCTCAGGTTCCATGGCACGGAACGTGTCAGAGCATGCCACCTAGTCCAGAGGTGTTGCCAGGACCAGAGAGGGCAAGGGAGGGACCCAGGGCCCTCCGATGACCCTGGCCAAGTCCCCGTTGGGCTCAGGCCAGGGCTAGGGGTGGGAGTGAGAAGAGCCTGTCCTTCTGGGCAAGAGGCAGCACGTGGAGCTTCCCCCCCAGGCTGGGTGCCCCCATGGCTCTCTCTTACAACAATGGAGGATGAATAAGTCACAGGCGGCTCTGGCTTTGCGAAGTATTCCTCTGTCCTTGGCCTCCAGGGTAATGAACTCACACCAGCACAGCGGAGCTTCCTCATCAGCCTGTGAGTATCCAGTCCCCAGCTCTTCTGTCAACCTGCCCACCTGGACCAGGCTTCCTGGGGGCGGGGAGTGGCTGCTGGGTTGCTGAACGGAGCCCAGGCTGGGTGGGGTTTGGGTTCCAGCACCTGGCTTCTCAGCCTGGAGACAACTGTTGCTCATGGATATTGCCGCAAGCTAGTGGGTTGCAGGTGAGATGCTTAGAAGGACTTCCAGAGGAAGAGGCTGAGATTGAGGAGTCTTCAGCCTCTGGGGCTGGCAGCAACTTTGGACATCATTCTCCTCTTGTGGCTGGGGGCCCGGGGTCCAGTGTGGGGGAATTGCTGGCTCTAAACCTCACGGCTTGCTCGTGGCAGACAGGGGAGCCCGAGTTTAGTGCCTTTTGCATTAATTAGGCTTCTGGCCTCCCTGCTGCCTTGCCCCAAGCCCAGGATTGTCTCCAGTGGGGCGCTGACAGAGAGTGATCTCAGAGAGGCAGCGGTGAGTGGTGGCGTGAAGCGAGATCTTAATTCCCTGCCCAGGAATTGAACCTGGGTAGCCTGGATAAAACTAGGAATCCTAGCCACCACACCCCCTGACTCTTGCCCTCAGTGAAAAATGCATTTCTCACGGAGGCAAAACTGTAAAAACAGGTACAAAGTTTATTATTAATGAGACATAGCGCAACAACAAGTGGGAGAGCACACAGAGAAACAGTTTGTTAAGATGGAAGCAAGGCAGAGATGCCCACCCGGAGAGAAAGGGTGTGGCCATTCTTCCTAATGAGGAGGAGTGCAGTAAAGAGGCAGTTAAATCATTTATACAGGGCAGTTCTTCCGGGTCTTTGTGTACCATTGGCCAATTATCTGGTTTCTTTTTCCACACTTGACCTGCCTTAGGACCCTCCCCAACGTGTGTGCGCAACTTTTTTTCCAAGATGGGTTACAGCCCAGAGGCCTACGGGATGGCCTTAGCATCACATATTATGGGGTGGTGCCCCCTCCTTTCTGACCCCCCAAGGAGCCTTTCTGTGCATGTGCAATACTTCCCTAGCCCCAGGGGTGGGAAATGTATGACCTCTTGATCTTTTAACAGGGTTTAGTCCCACTCTGTTCCTGCCATAAAAATGTCCAATGTCTGGTTATTTACCCTATTTCCGTTGCTGGTTTTAATATTGAGGTGTAGATCTCGAAATACAGACAGGAGTCCGGTCATAAATACGTAGTCCTGGAGCCCGTTTGTCTCTTGCTTCAGGAAATGTAAACGGGGGGCTGAATGAGTGTCCCGCCTGGAGCCCATCTTCTTCTCACCCTAGGAGGTGTGAACAGGAGGCCAGTTGTAAATGCTTAGCCTGGAGCCCATCTATCTCCTGCCTCAATAGCAGAGACACCCCTCCATGGAGGGTGGGTACTGGGGGACCTAGTTCACCCTGCCCAGGCCGCCCAGCCCTAGGGTGCCTGGGAAGGGAGTCTGGCCTAGGGGGTGAGGACCGTGGGGCGCAGGGAGGCACAGGCCCCTCCAGGCCTGGTTTCAGCCACTCAGCATTTACCACTCACCTCCCAGCTTCTACGGCACCATCCCTGTCCTCCGGAGCACCCAGGCTGGCGGGGCCTGGGTGGGCTGGGTAGCTCAGAGGCCCAGAACTAGGGCAGAGGGGGCCCAGGGGCCCAGGGGATCCAGAGGTCAGGCCCAGGACGGAAAATGCAACTGATGCCTTCTTTCAGCCTGGCCGAGGGCCCACGCCAGCCCGGAGCTGTTGGCTGTTTGGGGATCCCCTCCCCGGCCAGAGCCAGAGATGGGCAATGGAGTCTGGAGGCAGAGCCTTGAAATGGAGTTCAGTGTAGGCAGTGAACCCCCAGCCTCAGACAGAGTAGCATCCCCGCCAGCCCCTCTAAAGGCACACTGCACCTCGTCCTGTCTGAACTGTGCCCTCTAGAAACGAACCTCGGGAACAAATGCACAGCTGACCACAGCTGACCACACAGGCCCCTCCTCTAGGAATCCTTTCCTGGTCCTCATTCTTTCCCTTCCCCACTCCCAGTCCCTGCCTGGGGACTGGCCCAGATGTCTCCTCTGGGCTCCCAACACACCTCTTGCATTAAAATGGCTCATGTGTCTGTGTCATCCAAGCAGCCCTCTCCCAGCATCTAGCACGGTGCCTGGCATAGAGCAGCTGCTCCAAAAATCAGCCGCTGAGTCTATGGGTGGCCAGAAAACCACGGTATCGTTCTCATACCGGTTTGCTGTGTGACCTTGGGCAGATCACTTTGCCTCTCTGTTTAGGGTCGGACAGAGCTACTATTTTCTAAACTTTTTTGAAATGCATTTTAATATCAGGACAAAATATATACAATATTTGTATCTACAAAACCTAAAATTGAGACAAAATTTCATGAACTGACACAAAATCTTGTGAACTGATGCTTTCTCTTACTATATGTGTTACACTCCAATATTTTGTGTTCTCTTTCCTATTTTTCCCCCCCTAAAAGAAAAGCCTGGTTGAAAACCATAAACTGAGTCTCCCACTCATGGGTGGTAATGTACAGCTGGAAAATACTCCCTGATGGTCCCAGGCTTCTCTGTTGCTTGGTGCTCCCCCAAAGCCTTCCTAATGCCCCAACAAAGACATGGCTTGTACCATCCAAGACCCGGGGGCAGCAGCACGTTTATGCCACTGATGTTCCCTTTCCTCAGGCTTGTCCTGGACTGAGACATCCCATCTAGCCTGAGGGCTGCAACTGTGTTCTTCATTCTCAGGAATGAGGCTTGAGGGACCAGGGCGTAGTCCCCAACTGTCTGGGGGAGATTTCAGCCAAGCTGTGCCGGAGTGCCTCAGTTCACAATAAAGGAACCTCTGCCAGGCTCCCAGAGCAGGTGGGGAATTAAATCCTACCCTAAACCCCATGCTCCTGCCCTCAGGTTTTCCTCTGAGGAACGAGCCCTTCGCGTCTCTCAGTATGCTGGTTTGTGTAGGAGTTCTCCCAGCACACACAAAATACCTCCTGATCCAGGCCGGGCCCATCAGCATTTTCTTCTTCCTGGTCATTATGATTGGTTCAGGGTGAGCACGTGGCCTGGTGGGACCCATGAGGCTCAGTTATGGGGCTTCTGCTGGGACTTGTGGGACGGAGAAGCTCTTGCCTCCACTGGGGTCTCGAATAAACTGGGACTTCTAGGATCTGGAGCCAGATACCAGCTCCACTTTGCCACCCTGGGAGGTACCTGATGTGGAGAGAAAGTCTGAGCCCTAGGGATGACATCTGGGTGTCCCATAGTCAGTCCTAGTCCTGGATGGCCCAGTGGCGTTAGCCAGTACAAGTCACAATACACTTTGAGGACAAGGGTTTAAGCAGTAGTGTGTTAGTAAATGTTTACCAACATGCATTCTGGAGGAAAGTCCTGATGTGTAGTGTTTGCCGATTCCCACAGTGTAAATACTCCTACTGTGGCTGATTCAAGCTACCATCTGGATGACGTCGAACATGGAGTTGGGAAGAGACGCACACAATTGGCTCTCGCAAGTCCCTGCAGACCAGCTTCTGCGCAAGGCTGGGTGTAAGCCATGCTGGCCAGGTTTTCTGACCAGAAAAATCGGACCTGGATACCCAGTCTTGCTATTCTGGGAGGGAACTCCTTCTCAGTTATGCTTGGGCTCCCCATAAAGGTCACGCAAGTATCTGGTGTCTCCGTTCATTGTAACATGGGGGCATTTGTGGTTTCTTTGGACTGCGCTCTGCTGCTTGGGGCTCTGGGGGAGACGGAGAGCCCCTCGCAGCCCCTCTACAGCCTGACCAGAGGCTCTGCCTCCCCTCCCCAAGCCCCACCAGATACTAGCTCGTCTCTGAGCTCAGGCTCTGACCAAAGGCAAGAAAAGCCCCTTCAAGCAGCTTCTCTGGTCTCTGCCTCCACTACCTGGGACCCGGCTGCCCATATTTTGTTTTGGTTTGTTACGGGGAGGGGGCATTGGGAGGCAAGAATGAGCAGGAGGAATGCAGAACAATACCTTAAGCAATTGTCCTGCCACCGGGGGCAAAAGCAGCACCTCTCTCCCCGGGCTGTTGTGAGGATTAAATGAGATCATGCCTGCAGAGTACTCGGGCGGGAGCCTCACACGTGTGCTGTGTTCCGTTCCTGCCGGCAACTATCATGTCTGTGCTGCTGTCCTGTCCGCACCCCCTTGCTCCCCCCCACCAAGGAAAAAACCCTACCTGCTCCTCCTGAAGCTTCCCCATCTCACTGAATGGCAGCTCCACCCTTCCGGTCAGACCCCATCCTGGGAGCTGTCCTCGACTCCTCTCTCACAGCCCACACCCAATCCATCAACTGGCCACCAGCTCCACCTCCCGATGTGAGCTGGGTCTCACCACCTCCACGGCTTCTCCCTCTGGTCTGGCTGCTCCCTATCTCTCTGGACAGACTGCAACAGCCTGGCCTCACCGCTCCCGCCCTTACGCCACACTCAACACAGCAGCTGGGCCATCTTGTTAACCCCAAGTCGGATCACGGCTCTCCTTTGCTCTAAGCCCTGCGATGCCTCCCATCAGAGTCCGAGTCCTCCTGACGGCCCACAGGACCCCACAAGATCTGCTCCACCCTCAGCCCTGTGCTTCCTCTCCTGCCTCTCCCACCTCGTTCACTCTGGTCCAGCTACACCCCACCTCTGCGTCTTTGAAGGTGCTGCTCTCTCTGGAACCTTCCACCCCAGCGTTCCCCCCACTTGGTGCCTTCAAGTCATCTTCTCAGGAGGGCCTCTCTGCATCCCTGGTCACTCCATCTCCATCCCCACCTTGCCTGATTTGCTTCCCCCGGAGCTGATCACCGTCTCTTTCCCTCTATGTTTGACATATCATGTCCACCTCTCCCGCATTGCTCCAGGAGGGCAGGGCGACCAAGTCACCCACCTCGCTGAGGTGACACGTTCCTGGCTGTCCCGGCGCTCGACCAGAGCCTGGCACAGAGGAGGTGTTCCGTGCACGTGTGTTTGACTGGCTGAGCGCACGGCTCTCTCGCGATAGATCTATGGCAGTTGCTCCCAAGGGCGTTAATGTTTGGAGCAGGTCCACCGTGTGCCGGGTGCTCTGTGTGGTGTGTGTGGGTCCTGAGAAGTGGGGAGGAAAGCACAGCCCCTGCCCTTCAGGAACTGCACTCTGCCTGGTGTGTGTCACACCCGTGAGCCGTGGATGACCTGGCAGGTCATGTGCTGGGGGAGTGGTACCCACACCAGGGCTCACAGAGGATGCAGGATCCTGTGGGAGGTGTGGGCCCCCAGGCCCAGCTGACTGTGCTTTTTACACCTTCCTCAAATTCAGATCCATTTCCTTATCCCTGTCCACGTCTTTATTATCTCCCATCTGGAATATTCCAGCATCCTCCCAGCCACCAGGCAGCTCCCCTTAAAGCAGTTATTCTCACAGCTGCCAGAGTCCCTGTTAGAAAAGACAAAGCTAAACGTGCTGCTCTCCTGGTTAGGGCATCTCCATCGCCCACATCAGAGCCTCGAACTGGCGGCCCGTGGGTCGAACACAGGCTGCAGCCATGATTTGTCAGGACCTTCTTGGCACTGGCCTGCCCAGTATTTCTGAGAAATTTAAGTGCGTAATCTTTTACAATCAGGGGACTTGACACATGAATCTGGAGTTCTGGCTTTACTTGAAAAAACAAAACCGGATGTGGCCCCATTGAGCCCAAATCTCTGCAGGCAACAGTGCAAAGGGGCTGAGTGGGGGAGGCTCCCATGAGAGCCCTAGTGCTCTCTAGTTGGCCACCGTCCTCACCACTCCCTATTGCCCCTCAGTACCTCTGGGCTTTCTCTGTTCTCTCACACACGCCCTGCTTCCCTCAGTTAGGTCTCACGTTTGACTTTGGCGTTTGGGTTTGTGATCCTTGGTTCAGAGAATGGTTTCAACTCCAAGTACACCAGGTCTTCTGTGATGGGCCCTTCCTCACAGCTCAGCCCCATCACCTGCTCCTGCTGGGTTTCTCCTTGGCTCCAATAATAAGGAGCTGCTCATAGTTTCCTACAATCACAATGACCTTATACTTCTCTGGGCCTTTGCCGTCTCCCTTTCTTAGTTCCCGCTCATTTCCCCCCCACCCCACTCACCTTTTAAAGCTCAGCCGTAGTGGTTGCCTGGTGTGTGAGGCTTACATTAGAGCAAGAAAAGCCTTTAGAACAGGGCCTGGCACAAGAGGATGTAGCTCTTCTGTGTGCCCAGGGAAGTGCTAAGTGCTTGCACTGGGTCCTTTAAGCCTTGCACCTGTTTGCTAAGTTCCATCATTAGCATCTCTTCTGAGTTGCATGAGGTCACACATCTAGTGAGCGGCAAAACTGGGATCTGAACCCATTGCAGAGTGGGGACCCTCTCCCGGACTGTGGAGGGGCCCAGCAGGCGGGCTTCTTTCCATAGCTCCCCTGTGGTCCACAGTTTGGTTTCCAAGCCTGACACCACTGCATAGTTGCCAAGATGGCTTCCAGAAGCTCTAGGGGCCTGTGTGCTTCCGAGTTCATTTATGCAGGAAAGAAAGTGAGAAAGAGTAGCCAGTGTCCTAAGCTGCATTCCAATTGGACTGGACAGATGCAGGTCACGTGACTAGCCCTGAGCCAATCACTGCAGAAGACACACAATTGGCTCAGCCCAGGTCATGTGGTCCAGCTCAGGGGTAGCATGTGCCTCCCCAGAGCCCAGGATCCCCCCAAAGAGATCAGAGGCTCTTGGGAAGAGGGCAAGGGGAGGGCACAAGTTAAGGGGAAGAACCAGTGTTCCCCATGGATGCCCGAGGGTCACTCCCAAGGATCTCTCCTCTCTGGGCCTTTCCTTGTGTGGGGAGGGGGGTAGGGGGTGGAGCGTGCTAAAGGGAGGGGCCCAGAATCTGAGGGAAAAGGCCTTTCAGGCAACCTGTGTTGTCTCGACATCCATTAACCCTGCATCCTTCCCTGTCAGCCTCTGCCCACCTGCCCAGACGGGAGGCCGCCCGAGGTCCCACCTCCCATGGCTTATCTAGCATTCTTGGGCCTGAGCTGGGGGCGGAGGGCAGGTCTGAGTACTTGGAGGTAAGAAAGCTTGAGGGAGACACACAGGCGTCTGAGGAGGCACGTGTCTCCCGTGGTGGATTCTTTCCCTTCCTGGAACCTCATCCCCCTGGGGGGCAGGGCGCCTTCATTCATGAAAACGCCCTTCTTAAAACAACAGGGCAGTGGCTTGACCCACAGTCTGAGCATCTCACAGACACCTGTTTTCGTCAGAACTGAAGCAAGCCTCCCTGCAAGTGCTGGGGAGCATCTGCTCCCTCTGGAGCCTCCCGCACCCACCCACCCTCAGAGCCACTCAGCTTTTCCAAGAACTTCACTCCTACTCTGGGCTCCTGAGGTCTCTGTCAGCCGGACCTCCTCATACTCCACCCTCGGCCAGGTCTCTGAGGCTTCTGCGCCTTTGCATAGGGTGCTGCCCTTTGCCAGGAGTAGCCTGGCACCCGCCCTCCCCACCTTGGCCCTCATGGCCGCCAGGGCCCATAGGATCCTGCGCTGTCACGGTTGCCCAGTTCTATCTCCCATCAGAGAAGACAACTCGAGGCCAGGACTTGGCTCCCATGTCTCAAAACCACCAACCCTTCACGTGGAGCATGGGACACAGTGGATGTTTCAGGAAGGTTAGTCGAAAACATGAACGAATGCACGCAGTATGGCACAGTGATGGTTCAGTCTATTCAAAAGCCCTCTGGGTGACCCTCAGGAGAAAGGGGATTTGCTGGTTCCGTGGCAGCAACACGGAGCTCCCGCTTTGGCACTTGCTGCCTTCGGAAGTTACCAATGAGAGCAAATCCACATGTTCGTGGGCTTTGAGCGAGCACAAAGCCGGGTGGCTGGATGGTCCCTCTGACCAACTTTTCCTGTGCGGGCTGTGCGGACAGAGCACAAATTCTGAGTCTCTGCTGGTCTGTAGTGTGTGCGTGTGTGTGTGTGTGAGTGTGTTTGGATGTGTGGGTGAGTGTGTGTAGTTTAACCTGATTCTACTTCCCACCCCACCCCGTCGTAGCCCTGATTCCATCCTGGATTCAAAATAGAAATGAACAGGGATGATAGGGTTGAAGGTACTCATTTTCACCCACATTCATATGGAAACGTTAAAATCTGGACAAAATCCTAGAGCAACAAACAGGCTTCACATTGTTTTTGAAAAATAAATATTACACAGGACCCATACATGCACCCACATAACTTACTTACAAGGTTTCATAGAAATTTATTCTTCACTGCTTGCCATACCCGCTGATATATTCTACTTTGTGTGTGTGTGTGTGTGTGTGTGTGTGTGTGTGTGTGTGTAGTAATTCTGGTCACAGCCCATGAAATTGATTTCACTACTCAACAACGGGTCCCCAGCTTGCGGTGTGAAATTCCTCATCTTAGGGCACTTCCCTCTGCTCTAGGGTCTGGTAAAAGTGGACACGAGAAGCCAGCTGTCTGTGTGGTTGGTGGAGAGAGGAGGGCAGAGAACACAGCACCACGGCCCTTGGAGGATGGGGTGATGACACAGGACGCGGCTCCTGAGAGGAGACCACCAGCTCTTATAAAGCCGTCAGCAAATGAAGAAGCCAGTGGTCATGGGCTGCCTCAAGTGAGGTGGAGACTGCCATACAGCTGCCAGCCTGGAGGTCATAGAAGTGTAGGCAATTTCCCCTCCCTCCCTCCCTCCCTTCCTTTCCTTCAGCCTCCCTCCCTTCCTCGCTCTCCGTCTTTCCCCTCTCTCCCTTCTCTTCCCTAACTTCCTTTCTTCCTCCAAGGCCAGCAGGAACTCAGCAGCTTAGTCACCGCCCAGGACCTCGCTGAGCCGGCTCCCTGTCTGGACCCTGCCCCTGCCTGGTTCACGGCCCTGGCTGAGCCCCATCCTTGCTCAAGGCCCCGGGGGTGCTCCTCGCCCTCCTCCTCATTTCTGAGAGTCCCTGGGGTGCCTGATGGCTGGGGGCTGGGCCAGAGGCCAGAGGGCAAAGAGCCTCAGAGGCCTGTCCATCGGTGGCTGGGTACATAATAAGTGGGGGGCCGGGGGGGCAGTAGACGGAGATCCGCAGATGCTGGTGTTTCTTTTAATGCTTTCTAGACGCGCCATCCATCCCAAGCATATAATTTTCATTATATGATATCAACATTTAGCTTCAGTGATGGAAATGTCAACTTTAATTATTTTCAAGGAGTCTTGATGGCTCTGGGAATAAATCAATATAAATAATATTTTCATAAACTCTGAATCATGCTCCTAATAGCTTTATATGTATAATTTTAATATTCAAAACAATTTTTCCTTGCATCTTAGCAATTAATTGTTGCCAAGGGCTCATTTTTCTGTTCCCCATTGCTGTCAGCTCAGTGTCCAGGGGCTGGGGGGTGACATATTGGCACAAGGGCCACGTCCCCAATCCTGAGCCAGTTCCTAACACCACTGTCCAAGTGGTCAGGCTTAGTTTAATGTCTTTTCCCCAGAAAACCATCCCCTTTGCTCTCAGCCCATTTAGTTTACTCACCCTTCTGGCCCACCGTCTCCCATAAGCCTCTTCTGGCCACCACGCCTGGCAAGGATGGGTCTCTCTTCAGCACACATGCGGCATTCACGACTCCCTACGACTCCCCGGGCTGACAGCACAGCAGGCGGGGAGCTCGGGGCTTGTCCAAGGTGTGCCACACCAGCTGTGTGACTCTGGACAGCTGACAGGTAGCAGTGCCAAGCGGTCATCTATCAGGCAGGGTTCTTATTTGCAGGTCACAGAGAATGACGCTGGTGGATGTCAGCAGAAATGGAATTTATTAAAAGGACACCGGGAAGCTCAGACTCTGCAAAGCAGTCGACTAGGAACAGTGTCTGAAATTCAGCCGCAGAGCTGGTCCGGAGGCCGCGACTGTCACCCCTGAGGTCCCAGCCCCTGCGGTTTACACAGTAGACAGACAGGCCTGGATGCTGGGGGCTGCTGGAAGCTCTTGGAAGAACAGCTGGCCTTGGAAACCAGAATGGCCAGGCCTCCACTGTCACTGGAATGGAAGCTTCTCCCACCCCCAGCCTCCCACTCGAGGCCTGGGATGCCGTGCGCCACTGGTGAGCCTGGGGCTCATGCCACAACCAAGCTGCAAAGGAGTGTGAAAAGTGAATATCTGGTAGTTTGCATTTCTGTAAAAGGAGGCAAACTTTCTGCCTAGTAGGGGGAGAGGGGCCCACAAGCATCAGAAGAGGGTTCAGAGGCTGGGCAGCTAAGAAGTAGGGCAAACTACCCCACTGGGGCCACAGACATCCCACTGCCCGATGGCTGAAGCCCCTCCACAGCTGTTTTGTTTGACGTTGATATTTTCTCAGTAAAGAACTACACAAATGCAGCTCCAAGGGCCTCTCCCTCCAGTCTGATTCCTGCCCCAAACTTCCAGTTATGATTTACCTTCCCACAGCAACTATTCTCCAGGGGGAAATGCGCTGATGGGTCCAACCTCAGGCTGTGGTCCCCATGGCAGTTATATTTCTCAATGTAAATAAATAATTGGCATTCTGGCTTTTAAGAACTCATCCCTTGTGAGATTACAGCCTAGGAACCAGTGCCCCAGTCCCTTCTGGGTCACCAGCCATCGAGGGTCCCTTTTTCTAAGGCTGGCGACATGGTCCCAGTTCCTGGCGACAGGATGGGGCTGTCTGGACAGCTGCTGGCCCTGCCCATGACCCGGATCCAGCAGTGCCTTCCCACTCACACAAGCACTGGGTGGTGTCCTTCCTTGGTCACCGTGCCTTCAGAAACAGCAATCACACTTGTAGCCTTTGTGAAGTCCCTCACATAAAGGTTTAAAAAAGATCAAGCCCATTAAGGGCCTTATTGAAATATCACCTTCCCTTAAAAAATGAAATTGTATTCAATTGGGACTCTCTGGGAAATTCCAGGTTCCATGCTATAGGATGGATGGATGAATGAACGGATGCATGGACGGACGGATGGATGGACGGACGGATGGATGGATGGATGGACGGATGGATAGATGGAGAGCCTGCCATCCTATCCTAAGACATCAGGAAAGGGAGGATTGGGAGTAGATGAGTCTCAGCTGTGAAAAGCTTTGAGCACGAGATTATTCCTCTCTCGTCTGGGATGGTTGTGGGGGGCGAGTTGGGGTCTAAGCAGAGGTAGGGGGATGGGTGACATGATTTCCTGGGTCCCTTTCTGGGAATTTTCTCTGAAGACACCCAAAGAGTCAAGACCTGATAAAAAGCAATGGGGGAGCAGAAGGTGACAGGACCAGTATCCCCGTGCACATTGTCTTTAGGGATTTACCAAAAGCATTAAAAAATCTTCCCTTCTTGCATGGAGAGCAAGGAGCGAAGTTTGAGAGCTCTTCTTTCAAACTGTGTTCCTTCTAATAAAGAAAGAATACAAGGGTTTCCCTGGAGGCGCAGTGGTTAAGAATCTGCCTGCCAATGCAGGGGACACAGGTTCGAGCCCTGGTTGGGGAAGATCCCATATGCCGTAGAGCAACTAAGCCCGTGCGCCACAACTGCTGAAGACCGCGCGCCTAGAGTCCGTGCTCTGCAACAAGAGAAGCCACTGCAATGAGAACCCCGTGCACTGCAACGAAGAGTAGCCCCCGCTCGCCGCAACTAGAGAAAGCCCGCGTGCAGCAACAAAGACCCCTCACGGTAAAAAATAAATAAGAAATAAATTAAAAAAAAGAGAAAGTATACAAGTATTTATACTGTAGAGCTGTCCATTTGAGTGCTATACCCAGGGCGACCAATTCATATTATTCCCGAGCAAGTTCTTCGGAGATTCACTCTGCATCGCACAGGCCACTCATCTCTGACATCCAGGGGTTGGCGGAGTATAATTGCCACTATGGCTGCATTGTTTCAAGCTTCACCTCCTTTGCCCCCATACCACCCTTCTCCCCTGCCTCCCACCTGCCCAGATATTCCATGACAAGCAGCTGCAAATGAGGAGAGCCTACAGGAGGGAGCCCCCCCCCCGACCCGAACAGGAATTCCTCGCCCCATGAAAAGGGGCAGTGGAATGGCACTGCGGCTTCAACAGAGGGGAGAGTGATGCAAGAGACAGAGAACCGAGGCAGGGCCGTGGCCAGCGTGAATCAGCAGGCTTTCCGAGACTCAGAGGGATCAGTAGGGCTATAAGTGGGTTTCTTTTTTCTGGAGCTGGCCTGAGAAAGAAGCCACCTGGGAGTAGGAGTAGGAGGAAACTGGGAAGAGCTGGCCAGGTGGGTGGTGCTCAGCTGAGGTCTTGAGGACCAGACCCTGGGCTCTTAACCTGAGCCTTTTCCGTTGTCTGAGCAGAGAAAAGCTGTGGGACAGCCAGGGGGGCCCTGCCAGGGACAGAACTCACCCCATCAGGCCTGGCTTGGAGGGCCTCTGGGGCAAGTGCATGAAGAGGAACCTGGGGTGTGCAAGCCCTCAGGAGTGGGGCCTGGCTCCCTGAAGCTCCTGGGCGAGAGCCGTCTCTCTTTAGGGTGGCCCCTGCAGGACCTGCGGCAGCTCAAAATGGGACTCTGGCAGGCTGTCTGAGCCTTCCGGGGGCGTTAGTGCTGGCTGGAGAGATGTCCCTTGGGGACTGCAGGGGGGATGGGGTGAAGACGAGGTGCTGGTTGGGCCAGTGGAAATTCTGTGCTGCTCTCTGCCATCCCAGACTCCCCCTTCCTCTGCGGAGGGACTCTGCAACTGTCTGCAGGGGTGAGGTGGGAGGGGAGAGGGTCTCAAGCATGGAGCAAAGGCCCCTCACCTGTCGACCCCTCACTCCCTTGCTTGGAGGCATCGTCTCAGAATGCTGCCCCATCCCTCCTCCCCCACCACCATCCTCACCTCTGAACCACTGCCTTCATTTCAAAGCCAGCAAAAGGGCTCCTCTCCTCCACCCCTTCAGCCAACAGATGCCAAGGTTCTGGACCCGAGACGGGTACGTGGTCCCTGGGGTCCTCCTGTGAATGTCCTGGGTACTTCGGCCCAGGATCTGTGCAGAGTCAGCTCTACCCCACAGCTGGGCAGACCTCTGAGATGGATGCCGCACGGGCAAACCCTACCCAGCCAAGAGCTGAGCATGGGCCTTGGGTCCCCCAGATGGCTCTCCTCAGCTGTCTTTCTGCACCACCGTCTGGATCTGGGCTTAGAACTGAGCTTCCCTTCCAGCTCTGCTCTCTGGCCTCCACTTCCCACCTCCCACTCCACCCCAAGCCCTAATTCCACCTTTTTTCTCCTAAGACATCCCAACTGGTCAGAAAAAGTATATCCGAAGGGAGCTCTGGCCCTTAGCCATATAAACAGGGGTTCTTTCTCAGAAATACAGCAGCCATTTGCCTGTTCCTGGAGACCCTTCTGTTCTGTCCTGATACACCACCTACTCAAAGGGGCTTTTCCCCTCTGCCACCTCCGTACCGCAGCCACCTTCTCCACCTGCTTGGTGCTCACTGGTCGGGCCCTGCACTGCTGTTGTCGGTGGGGTCCCGGGGCAGGGAGTTCTCCCATCACCTCGGT